TGTGGAAAATGTTAAATTACCTGAAGCAATAGCAATAGCAATAGCAATAGCAGTTAGACTTATATACCACCTCACAATGCTTTACAGCCCTCTCTAAGCGGTTTACAGAGTCAGCATATTGCCCCCAACAACAATCCGGGTCCTCATTTTACCCACCTCGGAAGGATGGAAGGCTGAGTCAACCCTGAGCCAGTGAGATTTGAACAGCCGAACTGCAGAACTGCAGTCAGCTGAAGTAGCCTGCAGTGCTGCACTCTAAGCACTGCACCACCTCGGCTCCATCCTTTCCAAGCAAGAAACCTTCAGTTCAGTAGGATATACCCTCCTCTTACAATAACTGCACTTCCGTGGAAGGAAGTTCTGGGTCCACTAGAAAGCATCAGAAAGAATACTCAGGATAAACAGGAAAGCTGATGGCTCGTATTTGGCCTGGGTCTGTGCAAAGTAGCAAGCAAAGGCTGTGAATCAACAAGAACAGTCATAGCCTTCAATTAAAAGTGCAGAGTTTGCAGCACCAAGATTGAAATTTCCCGTCCTTCCTAGTAATTCCTGCCCATTAGAAAATGTTTTAGTATTGTACTGACCTCTATGCTTTTTCTCCCTCCCGTTCCTCTTTACTTTGTTATTATTTAAATTCTTGGAGACAGGGAAATAAAATGTTGAACCCAGAAAAATGTTATGGCAAAATTCAGTTTTGACATTTTAACTTCCAACGATCACAGTGGCGAGAAAGAGAAACGGGCATTAAACTTTTCTACTGAGTGAAATTAAAGCTTCAGTCCTATTTGGATATACGTTACCCTGTTACCATTAGAGGACTTTCTCATAAGCTGACTCTTTCTCATTTTCCTTTGTATGAAGGTTCCCCGGGCTAAAGCCTTATACAGCTACAGAGGACAAAATCCTGGAGAACTGAGATTCAACAAAGGAGACATCATTACACTGTACCGTCAGCTGGATGAAAACTGGTATCTAGGAGAAATCAATAGGGTCAGTGGAGTTTTTCCGACAAACGCTGTGCAAATTATCAAACAGTTGCCGCAGCCGCCACCATTGTGTCGAGCACTATATAATTTTAATCTGAAGTCCAAGAATAAAAATGAAAAACCAGATTGCCTGTCTTTTCATAAGGTAAGTCCAGCACCCAGCCAGCAAAACTGAAAAACTAATGTCCAGTTACACTTACGACATGTATTTGATGATATGGAAAAACATTGAAATGAATCAGTATAGGGGGCATGTCTACTTCCTCAATCCTTTCCTAGAATCTTAAGGTGTACAGCAGGAGTGTCAAACTCATGGCCCGCAGGGCAGATCCAGCCTACAGTATGCTTAGATCTGGCCCGTGACGCCGCTCTGAAAACAGCGAAGGACTGGCCCGCAGTGCCTCTGCTAGTGAAAACAGGCTCCCAATCTCTGTTTTCTGCTGGGAGGGCCTCCTGCAACACTCTGCCAATGAAAACAGAGCTTGGGAGGGCAGCTCTCCTGAGTGCTGTTTTCACTGGCAGAGAATTGCAGAAGGCCCTCCCAGCAGAANCCTCCCCCCTTCCCTCTCCCTTTCTCTCCTTCCCTCTCTCTTTCTCCCACTCTCTCTCCCTTTCCTTCCCTCTCTCTCCCTCTCTCTCCCCCTTCCCTCTCCTTTCCTCCCTCTCCCTCCTTCTCTCTGTCTCTTCCTCCCTCCTTCCCTCTCCCTTTCTCTCCTTCCCTCTCTCTTTCTCCCACTCTCTCTCCCTTTCCTTCCCTCTCTCTCCCTCTCTCTCCCCCTTCCCTCTCCTTTCCTCCCTCTCCCTCCTTCTCTCTGTCTCTTCCTCCCTCCTTCCCTCTCCCTTTCTCTCCTTCCCTCTCTCTTTCTCCCACTCTCTCTCCCTTTCCTTCCCTCTCTCTCCCTCTCTCTCCCCCTTCCCTCTCCTTTCCTCCCTCTCCCTCCTTCTCTCTGTCTCTTCCTCTCTCCTTCCCTCTCTCTCTTCCTCCTTCTCTCTTTCTCCCTCTCTCTCTCCCTTTCCCTCCCCCCTCTCTTACACTCCTTCCCTCTCTCTCTCCCTCCCTCTCTCTCTGTCTCTTCCTCCCTCTCTCCTTCTCTCCTTCCCTCTCCCTCTCTCCTATATAACAACCATGTTCGCAGACAAATGCAGACGTGTCTGACACTGTTGCAGTGACACTGGGCGTCTTTTATTGGGCTTGTTGTTAACATGACCTTCCCTGGTCCTCTCCCCCCCCCCGCCACCCCATCCCCAAAGGGCCCCCAAGAGCCCCTTGGCCCACAACAGAAACCAAGACCCTCCCCACATCGGGGAGAAAAAAAACTGTGTTTTCCTTTCACACACCCCCAGGCGACTTTGAGATCGTCAACAGCGCAACCAAGAAACACACTCGCGACGTGGGCTTGACTTTCCCGACCCCAAGCCAAGCCACACTCCAGGGAGGGGCTAGGAGCAGGACGGAGCACCGGATGGCTCAGCACCATGGGCTGTCGGCGGAAGACGAGGAGGAGCAACAGGCATGGCAGCCGGGCGGCTTCTTGGAAGGGAGGAGGCCCAGAAGGAGCCGGTCGGAGTGGACGCAAGGTGTGTGTGTGTGTGTGTGTGTGTGCTTGTGGATTTGGGCTACGCTGCAAGAGCCAGCGGGGTGCAGTGCCAAAGCTGCTGGGCTAGAGACCGGGCGACGGTGAGCTCTAGTTCTCTCTGGCTCTGAAAGCTGGCTGGGTTTTCGTTCTACGTATCCCTCTCTCTCTCTCGCTCAGCCCAGCCCACCTCCAAAGAGGGTTGTGTTTGTAGAGAAAAGAGGAGGGGGGAGCATTGGGTATACACATACTGCCTTCATCGTCATCTTTTAACGACCCCATAATCCCTTGTGGGTGGATCCTGGGCAACTGAATGCAGCTAGCAGAGTGTTTTCATGGCCGGATGCTCTACCTGTCGCCAGGGCGGAGTTTTGTTCAGCAGATATATTCCCAGTGGACCAAACGGTGGAGATGGGGAAGGAAGTCACAGGGTAAGTTTTGAAAGGCGAGCCTGAATCCCCAAATCAAGATGCGAGGTAACATAGGTTGTTTCCAACTTTTATAAGACACGTGGACTTCAATTCCCAGAATTCCCCAGCCAGCTTTGCTGGCTGGGGAATTCTGGGAGTTGAAGTCCACACAAGAAAGTGGGCAGAAATTGAGAAATCCCGATCTAGAACAAAGCTGTTGGACCTTCAGCCCGAATCCGAGGGCCGCTTCGAAGCTGTCAATCATAGTCAGCCATCTTGGCAAGGATCACTGAAACTCACCGTGCCGTTGTTCTCTTTCCTCCCCTTCTCCACCCACCCCCCCCCCCCGCAATCCAGGAGTGTCTTGGTTCGTCCCGGCAGCAGATCTCAAACCGGACCCCCTGGAAGAGGCCGACTTCCTGCCCGGTCCTGTCCTCGCGTGGTCCGAGCCCCCACCCAGAGGGAAACCCTGGCGAGAACCTCTCCGCGAGCAGAATTGGCCGGAACGTCCCAGGGGCCTCCAGGTGCATCTGGGAGCTCCGGCACGTGATGTTGAGAATGAGCCTCCCCCACCTTTGGGGGAAATGACCCTGCAGGTAAAATCCAGGCTTCTGGCTTTGTCCCCTTCTCTCCCCCCCTCCCTTCCCTTCAACTCCTTCCCCCCCCCTTGGTACTAGAGATCCCAGCGCCATTCCCGCTCGGCTGGAAGGAAGTAATCTCCAATCCCTTCGTATAGGTAGCCTTTGACTCACGACATTTCATTTAGTGACCATCCGGAGTTACCGCAGCACTGGGACAACGTCCCTTATATATCAATATATCAATATCAGTTAGACTTATATACCGCTTCATAGGGCTTTACAGCCCTCTCTAAGCAGTTTACAGAGTCAGCATATTGCCCCCAACAACAATCCGGGTCCCCACTGCTCAATCAGAATAAAATCCATTGAATTTCA